AGAGGGGGATGCAGGCAGCATCCACCAGGGCCTTGGGCACAGCAGTGTTTGAGCATTGGTATGGAAAAGCATCCCCAAGCCTGTGGACCCCACCTGTGCTGGGGGAGGGTTGGAGGGAGGGGCCTAGTGGGCTCAAAGCCACAGGAACAAGGCCGAACCCAGGGGAGCTGCACTGAATGAGCTTGGAAAAATGGGGCTTGTAGACCTGTGGTGGGTGTGGCAGGCTCATTTACCTCCTAGGCCTTGGTCTCCAAGACTGGTGATAGTGAGCTGGGGGCTGAGGCGGGGGTCTGATCAGGAAGTTGAAAGCTTCCAGAGGTGGGGGGACATGACGGAGCTGGTGATGGGAGAAGTGGTTGTGATAAACCCACCTGTAAGGTCTCATTCACAATTGGAGAGACAGCATCCAGCTCACCCACTGGGAGGGTCTGGGGGGTGTACCGGCCGGTAACCAGCAGTTCGTAGAAGCGCATGCGGGTTTCTCCTGTGATGAAAAGGGCAGGGGCATTCAGCCAGGCTCTAGGATGGGTCAGTCCCCACAGGTCTCTGAACTATTTGGGATCCTTGTGGGTCCTGTATATCTGGGATCCCAGGCCTGGGGAAGCTGCATGACCCCTGACCAAGTTCCCATCCTCCCTCCCCTTGCACCTCACTCAAGATCCTCATCTGTTCAATGAAGCTTCAAAACTGATTATTTCTTATCTTGAGTCTCAGAATTTAATGCCCTGGCTAGGACTCCCCCAAATTCAGAGTTGTCAAGCCCAGCACAAAGTCCCTTCCCATTACCTGGGCCATGGTGCCAAAGAAAGAGCACCCTCCTCCCCCACCCCTGCTTTTTTCACCTTCCCACTTAACAGCCAGAGCTTATAGCAAGGATGGGGGAAGTCCGGTGACATAGAGGTGATACTTTGTTAACTATCTGGGGCCAGGTGACAAGCAAGTTTGCAGAACACATTCTAATAGCATATTACTGTGAACTTTGCACTGACTTCCACTAGCTGAGGACCCAGGACCAGAGTTTGCTTGGGGACTCTGCAGGGTACTGTCCAACAGAGCCCCACTGGACCCCATGAGGAACTTTCCACCCCTCAGCAAAGAGGTCTTCACAGACCAGGGCCCCAGATTACTGATATTTATAGAACCTCAGAGGCAGCTGGCTGCATATGCAAAGGAGACACATTCCTTGAGCTACACTTTACACTTTGCTGGTCTCTCTTGAAATACAAACTTGGGTGGCAGTCTCTGCAGGCCGTTTCTTTCCCCCTCTTTATTTTTACTTTTTTCAGAAATAGAATTATGGTGAGACCTGACTCCTTAAGTGATGGGAACAGACTTCTGACTTGATTCTCAAGGGGAAATCAGACTGCAGCCACCCAAGGGGGTAAAGTCCATAGGCCCCTGCCCACCCAGAGACTGAGGAGCTAGGGAAATGAAGGGAGAGGCTGTGGATTGGATGAAAACCTCAGGCTTATGCCCTGAGGAGAGGTACATCTAGAAATAGGGTCAGCAATTGTGGATGGGGTAGTCAAAATACCCAGCATGATCTTAGACTCAATTAATATGTATTAATTATTAAAACCAAAACAACAACAACAAAAAGGTTTAGATTTCCCTATTTTGGTTTGGTGTATTCAGATGCCTGCCAAACCTTGTGCTCACAAAACCCCCGGAGCTGTTGCACCTAAGTCCTCCCAGGCAGGGTTCCCAGGTGGCCCCAGAGAGCTGGGGATCTAACAGGGCTATCTGGTCCCAGAGCAGCTGGCACCTCCTTTCATATAGGTGGGAACTTCTTAGGTCACAGGCAAACTTTGGGAGATACCCTCTGAGCCTCCAGCTAGCATCCAGGGGAGTCTAGGCAACCCAGGGATAGGAGGTGTGGCTCCCCAGCCTGGCTGTGAATCAAGCGGGACTCTGCTCCGAAGGTGCTGCGGTCTCTTTAAGAGAGAGGAGGGAAGACAAAGTGTCAACCCTTGAGCACCCAGAGCAGCCCGCCCCCTTCGCCCTATCGGGAACATTATCAATGAAACAACACTCCAAGCTCAGATTGGTTCAGGGGGAAGGGGTAAAGGGGGAGGGGGTATCCATCCTTAAAGGATTCACTTTTCAGTTGAGGGACCTTCTCTTTTCTGTATTTAAAGGCACCTTAGCAGCTCTTCCTCAGTTCTCCCCCTCACACACACCAAACAAACAAATGCCTCCTCCTAACACAGGCAGCAACACTGGGGACTGCTAAACCCAGGCCACCGGGACTCTGAAAGGGGCCCACAAGGGGGGTGTCAGCAGTGGGGAAGCCTCTTGGTAGTCTCTAGGGGTGCAGTGGCCAAGAACCAGCACATTTGGTAAATTATAGCCTGTCTCTTAGCAACAGACAACACATTTAGCTCCATGTGACTCTACTCTCAGGAGGGGTCAAATATATATATATATACATATATATATAAAGTTGTGGGAAGGGATCCCAAGGAAGAATGAGAGGCTTCCCAACAGTGCAGAGGAAGCTGGTGAAAGGGGTCAAGCCTACATCTCTGCCCCCAGGCACCCAGCTGGCCCTCACTAACCTTTGGTGTCCAGCTCCACGTGGATGATGTTGCCCATGACCGACGTGCTGTGCAAATGCTGAACAGCCTCCTTGGCTCCCCTGACTGTGGCAAAGACCACCTTGGCAATGCCCAAGTGCTTCTTGGTCTTGGGGTTGTACAAAATCTCCACCTCCTCCACCTCCCCATACTTCTTGCACATGTCCCTCAGGAAGTTTTCGCGGATGTTATCATTCAGCTTGGCAAATGTCACCTGCTTAGGAGGCACCGGGCCCACGTAGAACTCATCGATCTGGCAGGGGCCGAGGGGGAAGGGAGTTTGGAAAACATTGAAACCGAAGGAAAAACACAATATTTCCCACTCCCCCAGTGTTAAAAACAACGAAGGGTTAAAATTGTTTTTTAATTTTTTTTTGAAAAAAAAAATGCACGCGGGCGGGCCCGGGAAGCAGAGGATTAAATCGTTTGGAACGTGGAAGTCCTCTGGGTTCGGAAGGAAAGGGGAAAAAGAAACAGTTTCTCTTTCCCCACCCCCCATTCTGGCCTCCCCTCCTTGCTCACCGGTCAGGGGCGACCCCTTGGACTAGGAAGTTGTCCCCCCAAAGTCGTTGGGCTGGGAAGGGGGGCGGGTCCCGGGGCCAGGCCTCTGGGTAGGCAGGAGACAGGTGGGGACCCAGAGCCCCCAGCTGGGCGTGCAGGACACTGTATCAGCGCCGTGATTACAGTTTCACCGAGTGTTATTTTGTTTACAGTGGCTGGGAGGGGGACACCCCACTCCTCCTCCCCGCCAAAACTTCCCGGCCCTGGACGGCGGGAACTCAGAATCCGGCTGGGCTTGGTCAGGGCTGGCGTTATTTTCGAACTCGAGGAGGGAGGGGGAGGGGTCCTACCTTGAATTTGGGCACCGACAGCTCCAGCTCCTTGTTTTTGGTCCAGATCCCGACGACCCGGGGATCTTCCACAATTTCCACCGGGCGGTTGCTGGACATCTGCGGAGGGAATGGGGGGAGGAATGGGCGGGCTGGTCCCCTCCCCAGGGGCAGGGGCAGACCCCCTTCCCCAGACCATGGTCCAACTCCAGGAGTGGGGCCCCGGCTGACAGTTGGCCGGGTGGTGGGCAGCGGGGTGCCGGCCGCTCGGCCCCGGGGGGCGGTGGGGGCGGCGGGAGGCGCGCCGGCTACTCACCGCCAGGCTGAAATGCTGCCCATCGTAGCGGTACAGTTTATGATGCCCCTTTTTCAGAGCCGGGTCAATCATCAACTTGTAACTTCTCCAATGGTGGTTCCTCCTCTCGCCCGAAGGGCCGGGCTGCGGCGGGGGCTGCTGGTGGTGGTGGTGGGGGGGGTGACTGTTCTCCATGCCGTTAACCCAACCTGAAAACCAGCAAGTTGTTGTCGTCTCCGCCGCGGCGGCGGCCGCTTCTACACACACGCGAAAGAATCAGATCGGCCGGCCCCCACCCCCTCCCACCTTACCAGCGCGCCCCGAAAGGAGCTGTCTCGCTGGCTCCCCCCAAAACGAGAATGGAGCGAGAGAATAACCCTTCCGGGAGAATTACGCGCCCGCCCGC